CTGAGCCCAAACCAAACCCTTACCATGACCACTTCTACCCTTCAGCGTAACACATGGACGCACACGATGACAGCAGATAGCCTGTTGTTGTGGTGTTTCCTGTTTCCTGTTGCCACTCTTTCTCAAGGTATCAACACCTGAGATGTAAACTAAGCTGTGTGACTGCAGTAACGCCACCACAGAACACACGAGCACTCAGTGGCAGGTTACTCACGTTGCTGGCCAGAACTTCCACTGTTGTGTTGTAGAGTTTATCTCTGCCGGTCTCTATATTTCCACTGCGAAACAGGTACCTATAGACAGCGAGACAACACAGGTGTAAAAAACGATGACACAGCAGCACAGGCCGCTAACATCCCAAACAAAGAAACTGCATCATTGAAATCAGTTGTCATGCAGTGATAATCAGATATCACACTGTCTCACAGTTTCAGTCTAACTGTTTTTAAAGACCGTTTTCATTAAATGATAATTTCTGTCACATTAGACCAGAGAGTAAAACTGCAGCCAGTGACAACAACACTGGACCAACTTCATCAACAAGTCTGTCCTGCATCCCATCAGGCAAAACTCAGATGGAATGAATGAGTGTAAGCTGCTCATGATTTACAAGCAGATTTAAGAATTTTTTTGTAATAGGACAATGGTATGAAGTTTTTAGCTGTACCTTGACATGTTTCGGCATTCCATCTGTCGCCTTCTTCAGAAGCGTCATCTGACGTGTGTGACGTGTGTTTATCAGCTGTTTTTCCTGGGTGTGGCCAAACTGACAGTTCCAGTGGGTGTGTCAGTTTGGCCACACCTACTGCCGCGTGGTGGTCTCTGGAGCAGAGGGTCCCAGGTGTGGGATAGAAGGAACGCTCCATCATCTCTATTGATGGTGTGTGAGCCTCGCTTCCTGATTTCAATAGATTCCCGGATCTAGCGCCTGTATTTATGCTCCTCAGTCCCTATGATTGTGGCGTCTTCCCAATTCATCACATGATTCTCCCGCTTGCAGTGATCTGAGATTACAGATTTTAGGTTCAACAACAGCTGATAAACACACGTCACACACGTCAGATGACGCTTCTGAAGAAGGCGACAGATGGAACGTCGAAACATGTCAAGGTACAGCTAACAACTTCATACCATTGTCCTATTACAAAGAAATTCTTAAATCTACTTGGTTTCATTTAAATCTACTTAAATGAACGTCTTTGCTACATTAGGTCATGATTTACGTCGTGATGCTCAAAAACAAACCAGAAAACTACTTTTTTTGTAGTTTTATACATAACTGATGTTATTCCACTGAAACGTTGGTTCAGTTGCTGATTCCAGTCGAGTGTGTTGATCTAAGGAGGGACAAGCTCACAGCAACCTGCTTTCACTCCTCAGGCCTTCAGGGAATGTTCACTGCATTAAGGCGTGGCTGTGTTTAGTGAAGGCTTCAGTTTCTGGATTATCTGGGAAGAGTCCAGCACTCTGAGCCTCTCTCCACAGAACCAATGGGTCCATTTTAACTGTCCCACTGTCAGGTAGTGGGACAGCTAGACTCCAGCCCCCATGACTCTAGTGAGGATGAAGGTGTACGGATGATGGATGGATGGATGGATGGATG